CTGAACTAGCCAACAGAGGGTGGGCTCCATGTTGGACACACAAAACAGCTGTATCAGCTCATGTCCATGCAACCAGCAGCCAGCCAAGAGGAGCCTGGCTGGGAGCATTGACAGGGGGCTGGGAGCTTGTGACTATGGGAGGTTTGTGTGCTGGGACTGTGAAAACACTATGGCTGCATGGGAGGGTGCAGGGTGTGGCTGAGACTTTGGGGAGTTCTGAGAGCAGCTCCACATCCTCATGGACACATTCAAGCTGGCATTAGCTGGAGGACATTAGGTGGCATTCTAAAGAACAGTCAGTTGTAAGTAGACTGGCCAAGATTTCCAAAGAAAAATACATAGAGTATTTTGTGCTTCAAACTACTACCCTCTCTACTTTTTACTCCTGTGAACACTGGTATATGTTTAATGAAAATCTGGAAAAAATGAGCTCATTTGAATCTGAAACCAGAGAATGTAGTAGAGCATTAAGAAGATGAGTGACTACTCTGAGACTACTAGGAATGAGGTTTAATCTTTAAGGCCAACGGGAATGAAGTTTATGATAGGAAAGACAGAGAAGCTACAAGGAAAGTGTGGCATGAGTCAGGTCTTCTGATCATGCCTTCATGAAATAAACCCACAAGTGAGCCTCAACCTGCAGGGACGACTGGATCCAGCATTTTAAAAATTCTGTTTTAAATAAAATGGCGTGGGTTTGGGAATTGGTATTAACAGAGAAGGTTGGCCGGCGCTGCGGCTCACTAGGCTAATCCTCTGCCTTGCGGCGCCGGCACACCGGGTTCTAGTCCCGGTCGGGGCGCCGGATTCTGTCCCGGTTGCCCCTCTTCCAGGCCAGCTCTCTGCTGTGGCCAGGGAGTGCAGTGGAGGATGGCCCAAGTGCTTGGGCCCTGCACCCCATGGGAGACCAGGAGAAGCACCTGGCTCCTGCCATTGGATCAGCGTGGTGCACTGGCCGCGGCAGCTATTGGAGGGTGAACCAATGGCAAAAGGAAGACCTTTCTCTCTCTCTCTCTCTCACTGTCCACTCTGCCTGTAAAAAAAAAAAAAAAATCTTCTGATGTGCATTTGGAAGTTAGAGGGACCATGGATCTAGTGGCAACTTCCGTATTCAATAGACAGCAGAGAAGTGTGTGGCTACTTCATGCAAGAATGCACGGTGAGCCATTGGTAGGATCAAAATTCCATAGAACTGTTTTACAGCCTGGAGAAAGCCACTAGAAAGAGAGACAGAGAGATGGCATAAAACTGTAGCCTCCCTGTTTGGATAAATAATTTAAAATACAAGATATAGAAAGAGATAAGTATTACATAAGAAACCAATATGAAAATTATAATTCCTCCCTCATCATAAGTCAAAAATTTTAACCTTTAATTTTGCTCCCTCAAAATGTGGAAATCTTTACTTAACATACGCTAAATTGATCTTCTGTATATAAAGAGAATTGAAAATTAATCGTGATGTGAAGGGGAAGGGGAGAGGGAGTGGGAGAGGGGAGTGTTGTGGGTGGAGGGAAGTTACGGGGGAGGGGGGGGAGGAAGCTATTGTAATCCATAAGCTGTACTTTGGAAATTTATGCTCATTAAATAAAAATAAATAAATAAATAAAAAATTTTGCTCCCTTAAAACCTGCAGTTCATCATTTACTAACTTGATTTTTTTTAATGTATTAATGTATTTATTTATTTGAGAGGTAGAATCACAGAGGGAGGGAGAGACAGAGAGAAAGTTCTTCCATCTGCTGGTTCATGCCCCAAATGGCCACAACAGCCAGTCTGGGATGATCTGAATCCAGGAGCTAGCAGCCACCTCTATGTCTCCTACATAGTTGCAGGGACCCAAGCACGTAGAACATCTTCCACTACCTTCCCAGACCAAGACAGATACAATTTTATAGTCCATTAATTGATTGAGAAATACATATTGAAAAAAAATCATATTTTATCTAATTCAATTATGTCAATTTCCAGTAGAGAGTCTCAGGTCTCCTTCTCTAGGCCTATATTCTAGCACAATGTCCTAAAAAGGAATCTTCCTTAGAGAGAAGCTAAAACAAAAAAGGGGAGACTCTAGGATGAATAAAGCAGCGCTTCTTCCACTTTCCCTCCAGAGTTTAGTGACTAGCCATTTTGCACATTCTAGAAATGTCCTAAGTTGTAACTGGATGAGGAATCACCCTCAGAGAAAGCTGGACACAGTAAAAGATGGACCTGGACTAGGAGGCTGTCTGAATTCCTTGCTTAATCTCCCATCTAGAGCTCTTTCCTGAGCCTGCCAAGCCTCCCTAAGAGACTGGGGCATAGAATTCTGATACAGGGTGTGTGTGTGTGTGTGTGTGTGTGTGTGTGTGTGATTGTCTGTAGAAGTCTGCTTCTGAGTGTGCAAGACTGACACCAAGAACCATGACAAACAGGTGAGAAATGCATCACTTTTCTCCAGGTGAGGTGGAAAGGAGGGACTTGGGTGACATCAACTTCTCCGGGTTGGGAAAAGTCAAGGTCCCTAATTCTGCACCAGTCTGGATGGGAAGTTTAGGGCAGGCGTCCTCTAACTTGAGGCCCTCACTTCCCTCTCAGCAGCCTCAGGCCCCCCCCACAGCCATCCTGTCTACAGGATCTCAGTCTTCCCCTGGCCTCCATGGGAAACCCCTTCAGGCTCAGAGCTCCCCAGGACCTGACCAAGACTCTCATTGGATTTTTCTTCTCTCCCTCTCTCAGATACCAGTACAGAAAGATATTGCTAATTTGAAAGAAACTGCAAGAAAAAGTACTTCCCACCTTATGACACATCTACAACAGCAGCTCAATTTACATACCAAACAGAACATCAAGAATGGAATTCACCATCGTGAATTGCTCTTGGCTGTTTCTGCTCCACTTGGCTGGTTGGATGAGAGCCACCAGTCTTTTAAACTCCAACTGTGATAATCACCTAAGAAGATCAAGGACAAAATCCACACATATAACCACCGCTGCCCTGTGGGTAGCACCTGTTTCTCTCAACTTAGCTTTCTTGCTTCTTTTTTCAAATGTGTAATGAAGAGAATTACCCATCAGTTTTTCTTTGATGAAGGTTGATCCACTAGGAAGGGAATGTTGTTCCAACATGGGTGTTGCCTCCTCTGAGCACCATTCCAGTGATGTGCTCACCAGTCTGTATATAGTTTCATTCATATTTCTTTGTGCAATTTTAACCTCTTTTGCTAGGTTTTGTTTTGTTTTATGTTATTTTTAACTGATACTGATAGTTCTGATTAGAATTGGAGGCCAGTTTCCTTGCTCAATGCTAGTAAGCAAGTGATCTTTATTAGAACCTGAGATGATAGCTATTAATGTTGCAAAATGGAACCACACTTGCCTTACTTAAACAGAATATGATTCTGGTACAAGTGGTGGGGGAACACCACAACCAGGGTGAACCATCGGATGGAAGAACTCTTTCTCTGTCTCTAATTCTCTGTGTAACTCTGTAACTCTGTCATTCAAATAAATAAAATAATAAATTTTTTAAAAAGAATATATAGGCCAAATGCAAATATTACACCCCTTTATGTTCAGACTTGAGCATCACTGTTTCTGGTGTCTGCAAGGCGTCCTGGAACCCATCCACCACAGATGTTGATGGATAGCTGTCCATATCCTGTACCTCCTTGCAGGGTCTTGATTGATATAGATATGGCACTTAAACATGAGGTGTAGGTCTAATGAATTCCTACAAATATGGAAGACACTTTCTACCTGGGTTACAGGTATAAGCTGGAAGAATTCTGACATACATTGAAAGTTATGGATGTGAATGGGGATTCTGGAGAGGTCTGTAATGGAACTAACTTAACATGTGATTGAAGACTGAGAAAAGTTGAATCTTCTGTTTAAGAGGCAGGCAACTTGACTGACTTGTAGTCCAGTGTTTTATAGAAGGAAAAAGGTGCAGGCAATAAAACTTGACATTTAACAGAGTTAATAAACCTGAACGCAAACTATTCAGTTTACATCCTAATAACATTCTCTATTTGTTAATCAACTGTAACAAAGGAAACACATTCTTATGTGAATAATAGTGGAAATGTACTGGAGACAGAGGGGACATGTGAATTCTCTGTACTGTCTGCTCAATTTATCTGCAAATACATAGCTGTTCTATGACAAATATTAATTTCTTAAAAGTCAAATAATTGGCAGCACTCTGTGATAGGTGGTTCATAATGCATAGTGAGGTAACCAATGGGGAACCACAGCAGTTGGTGATTTCTAGCCTGTGGCTTCAGCCTGTGATAATGAGAATCACTTTGGAATCCAGACAGCAGAGCACAAAGGTCAAGGTCATGGTCTAAGTCATCTTCATTCTCCATTCAGTGTAGGAAGGCCAGTGGTATCAGGTGATGGCAGAGATAAAACATCAGAAAGAAAACTCCATGAACCACGATGGCACAGTCTCCACAGCAGCACTGCGACTCCTCTGGCTTCAGAGCCCCGTCGTTTCCAGCTAGCCCACCTCGGAGCCGCAGCGACCCTCAAAGCATCCCTCTCCTGGAGCCCACGGTGCAGGGGGCTTGGTGTCCGCTCCAGACCCCTCACGTCCCGAGTTAGGGCTAGGAAGGCTCTGGTCTCGGGAAGGCAGCTCCACGGGCCACGGGCTGCTCCCCCGCGTCCTTTCTGCCCCCGCCGCACCTGGGACCCTGCAGCTGCGACCCCGACTCCCTCTTCCCCTCCATCCGCCGCAGGAATCCAGTGCGCAGAGAAATCGAGTGGCCGAGCTGGAGCGACCCCATGCGCGGCGAGCCCACCCGGCCAGGGCCAGTTCAGCTGCGTCCACCGCTGGGGTCCGAAGTCCTAGCCCCGCGGCTAAGGACCCCGTTTCCAGGTAAGTCCCTCCTAGTCCTATGAATGACCACCGGGGAGAAAGCCCCCGCCCCCGGCAAAAAGGCCGCCGCCATCGACTCAGACCCCAACATAACCCCACCGGCCCTCCCCCACCCCCGCATCTTTTACCCCGGCCTTGCGGGGATTGCCGTGGCAGTAATGACGCTGCTCTGTTCATCCGTTCCTCCCAGCCCGGGACGCGTGGCGTTCCTCCCCGCACCACAGATCCCGCGCGGCCAAGCGCGAGTCGTTTCCAGGCATCGGCGTCTGTGGTCCTCGACCTTCGGATTTCAGACCTCGGTGCCTCCCAGGACCGCGATAAACGTCGCCTCCGCCCCTCTCTCTCAGATCGCCTGGGGGGCGGTCTCGGCTTGCCCCAAATCGGTCCTCATTAGAGCCCGGCCAGGGAAGCCGGCATCCGTGGCTCCCAGGGACCTGGACCCGGAGCTGCTCCTCCCTGCCCGGGCGACAGCAGCTGAGCAGTCCCGAGGCGGTCCGGAACCTCGCGGTGCCGTCTCCCCTCCCAGAGCGGAGTCGGGGACCGGGCTAGGTGGAAATGCCATGGTTCCCTTCTGCCCAGCGGGACCGCCCCTGCCCAGTCTCTCTCGCTTTTGGCCCTTCCTGGGGCTTCTAACGCCGTGGAACACTTGTGTTTCTCCTAGGGCTCGCTTGGAGGAAGGCAGCCTAGCGCAGACGGAAGGACCAGGTGAGAGCGAGGAGGAGACGATGGGCAGGAGGGAGGAGCCGCGTTCCCGGGGACAGTCCAGGCGCCGCTCCCCGTGCACCGCCCTCCCGGGAGACCAAGGGGCTCACTGCTGTCCTGAGTGCTTGGTTTTGTCTGTGCTTTGTCCTTCCAAGTTTCTTTATGTTGTTTATGGAAACGGGATGGGCAAGAAAGATGTTTGCAAGTGAGTGGACGCCAAGTCAAGACCTGAATTCCTTTATTAGCAAGCAACCTCCTTCCTTGCCATGTCCCCCTGCAGGAAGTGGCCAGGGCACCCAGGGCCATGAAGATCAACTAAGGACTGGTCCTGGCTGGAGGTGTGGGTGCAGGCACACTGTCCCCTCACAGGGCAGGCCCTCTCTGGGGTTCTGACCAGGAGACTGAGCTAGGCAGTCAGTCCTGGGAACCAGCGATCAGACATTGCTCTCTGAGCTCCCACCCAAATCAAGTCTTCTACCTCTTCTCCCAAATGACCCATTGCCAGACCTCTTCTTTATTAACAGAGTTCACTGCCCTTATCTGGCCAGCCATCCCCAGTTGCCAGTGGCCAGGGGGGAGCCTCACTCCCTGGTAAAAAGTAAGTCAAGGTTTTTCTCTGCTTGGAGGGGAACAAGCCTGGCTCAGGCCCAGTTCCCACCTGGTGACTCACATGCCAGGTTGGAAGGGCAGACTCTCCTTAGTTCCCAGCCCACAGCTGATATCAACACTTACAAAAGTATCTTGGGTGCTGACTATTGGGGTATAATTGGGTTAAGCTGCCCCCTGCAATGCCTGCATCCCATATAGGCTCTGGTTTGAGTCTGGGCTGCTTCACTTCCAATCCAGCTCCCTGCTAATGTGCCTGGGAAAGCAGCAGAAGATGGAATAAGTCCTTGGGCCCCTGCACCCATAAGGAGACCCTGGTGAAGCTCCTGGCTCCTGGCTTCGGCTTGGCCCAGCCCTGGCTGTTACAACCATTTGGGGAGTAAACTAGTGGATGGAAATGGATTTCTGTCTCTCTGACTCTCCCTTTCTCTGTAACTCTGATTTTCAAGTAAATAAAAAAAAATTAAAAAAAAACTTTTTAGAGTATCTTGATCTTGATTAGATGTATGCTGAGAAATAAAGTTTTTACACTTTTTAAAATCTTTCTATTCCATTTTTCTATGAACATTTTGAAATCCCAGTGTACAAAGGAAAGAGTGGGAGTGGTCATGTAGGATCTTTGTCCTTAGTGTGCTGTACATTGAGATTTAATGCTATAACTAGTACTCAAACAGTATTTTTCACTTTATGTTTCTGTGTGGGAGCAAACTGTTGAAATCTTTACTTAATGTATGCTAAACTGATCTTCTGTAGATAAAGAGAAACAAAAATGAATCTTGATGTGAATGGAAGGGGAGAGGGAGTGGGAAAGGGGAGGGTTGCGGGTGGGAGGGACGTTTTGGGGGTGAAGCCATTGTAATCCATAAGCTGTACTTTGGAAATTTATATTCATTAAATAAAAGTTAAAAAAAAAAAAGGAAAGAGTGGACAAATCCACCTGAATCCTGGTCTGTAGAGCAATTGTTCACAGAAAATCAGCCCAAGAGAAGACCAGTCATTCTGACAACCATTTCAGAACATCAGGCCTTCTTCAGCCTGGGAAAACACCCGCCGTGACTCTCACCCCTGGCCTCAGTGCTGCTTAGTCTTGGTGCTGATTCTGTGCAAGAGAGGGGTACATCAAGAACCTCATTCTCAGGACAGGTGTTTGGTACAGCAGTTAAGTCACCATCGGGACTCCAGCAATCCATATCCAAGTGCCTGATTCCAGTCCCATCCAGGTTCTGTTGGTGCACACCCTGGGAGGCAGTAGATAATGGCTCAAGTACTTGAGTCCCTGCCATGCACATGGAGACTCAGATTAAGTTCTGGGCTACTGGCTCCAGCCTGGCCCTACCCCAGCTGTTGCAGGCATCTGGTGAATGAATTAAAGGCTGGAAGTTTTCTGTCTGTCTCTCTCTCCCTCCCACCCCCTGTCTTTCTCCATCTCTCTCTCTTTCAAGTAAAATGAAAACAAAGATTTTTCAAAAATTTAGGAAGAATCTCATTCTTGGCTTTTACAGTTCTCTTCCCCAGTTTCTCTTCTGGCTAATCAATAAATCATTTAACAATCCATTTTGTAGGCAAAATCCACGGGTAATTTCCTGACAGGTGGTTCCCTAATGAATGCTTCCATGACCAAGAGGTAGACTCAGAAGCACTTCTTGCTTCCTTCTTGAGCACTTAGGTTTTCCTTTTCCTTTAAGTATTTCTTTTTTCTTTTTGCTTTACTGGCCACTACTTTGAAAATGTAGAGAAGATGACATAGGCCCTCACAGCATCCCCCAGGAGTAACTCCAACGAGAAGTTGTGGGGCATCCCCCTATTCCTATGCATTGTGTTTTACACAGTGCAGACCACACTGAATGTGTGACGTTGTAGCCTGCGTTTCAGGTCACCTCATCTTTGTCACTTTTACACACATGACCCCAACCACTTTTCTATTTTAGAGTTTGCCTTTGTATTTATTCTTCTCCCATGGAAATAATGTAATTTCTCTGTTTGCACAAGATGCTTTGGTCCTATTTATTTTTATAAAAGAACTATCAAACAAGCACACACAAAGAACCTCATCCTTATAGTGGGTATTTGGTATAGCACTTCAAACAGCCCTTGGAACACCCGCATTCCATATCAAAGTGCCAGGATTTCAGTGCTGGCTCCCCTTCTGATTCCAGCTCCCTGCTAGCATGCATGCTGGGTCCCTGTCACCCACATGAGTGAGTTCCCAGCTCCCAGCTTGGCCCCAGCCCAGACCCAACCTTTCAGTCATCTGGGGAATGAACCAGGAGAGGGGTGCTTTTTCTCTCTCTCTGTCTCCCTCTCTCTCTCTCCCTCTCTCGCTCCCTCCACCTCACATACAGTTTGTAAAAGGAAATAAACTAGAAAAGTCAGAAGAAACTAAACTCAAAATTAGTACAATAAGGAAATACTAAAGAGAAAGAAATAAAGGAAATGCAGACTTGAAATAACACAAAAAGTCAATGAAATTTTGAGTTGGTTTTCTTGAAAGACAAAATCAGCAAACGTTTAGTTTTGCTAAGAGCCACGAGTGGCATTTCTGAGGGACCTAAAGGCTCGGTGGCTCTGATGGCCAATACACCCATACAGGTATGCACTCATGGATTCAGCAAGCATTTATTTCATGTTGAATACTGGGAATATAAAAACAATTTGGGTGATTTCTACAACCTAACAATTGTCATTTGCAATCCATAGAGATGTAGGTTAAAGGAAAAGTGCCTAGTCCTCCACTTTCTTTAAGTTACTAGAAGTGCTGTAGTATGCTTCTAGGTGGGGCAATTTTAGAAAGGGAAAAAAAGGTTAATTGGATATAACATTATCTCCTAACAGATATGAGCCAGAGGAGCTCCTGTGGACTGGGAATTTTGGAACTACTCAGAGCTGAGGGCGAGTCCTTCACCTGGACCCGGATGCCAGATAAGCAGCAGGACATGGAGCTCATCATCATGAGAGTGCCCTGCCTGGTGACTTCTGGGCTCTTAAGTGTGTGACGTTTGTCAGTGTTCTCCAGACAGCTGTCTGTTTCCTACAGCTAAATCCCAAACCACTTGTCCCAGCTGGCTGCACTTCCTACTGCTTGTTGTTCTCACTTTCTTAACTCTTTGCTTCTGCAACTTCCACCTTCCCTCTCTTCTGGTCCCACAGTTTGGGTCTTATTGCCCAGAACTGCTTCTCCTCTGAAACCTTACATGCCACTCACCAGACCTCTCAACCCAGCATTTCATTCATTAAAATCTCTAACACTTTCCGTTGTTCCAGCTCTTTCTTATTGGGGTCACCTCCCCCACAATTTGCTGCTTTTCCTCCTTTTTATCAGCCCATGTTCTGATTTTCTCTAAGCCTAAACTAAAATAGGGAATTTCAAGGGCTGGCGCTATGGCGCAGTAGGTTAATTTTCCGCCTGTAGTGCCGGCATCCTCTACGAGTGCCGGTGCTAGTCCCAGCTGCCCCTCTTCCAATCCAGCTCTCTGCCATGGCCTGGAAAAGCAGTAGAAGATGGTCCAAGTCCTTGGGACCCTGCACCCGCATGGGAGACCGGGAGGAAGTACCTGGCTCCTGGCTTCAGATTGGCGTAGCTCCGGCCCTTGCAGCCATCTAGGGAGTGAACCAACGGAAGGAAGACCTTTCTCTCTGTCTCTCCCTCTCACTGAAACTCTACCTCTCAAATAAATAAATAAAATATTAAAAAAAGAAATGGGGAATTTCAATTACTCTCTCCACTTGATCCCCACTTGTTGGGTATTTGGTTAGGTGACATCCTGTCTGTTAGCCTTCTTGCCCAAGCATATCATGAAGGAGGAAACTAAGTGAACATTTTCATCTGAACTCTTTTACCATTGATGTAAATCTAGTGACTAAAATCTGGTACTTACTCATCATTTCTTGACCTTAACTGAAGCCAGATATTTTGTATGTATTCAAATCTTGAGACACCAGTCCTAAACCAAGAGTATTATTGGCATTTCTTCTGCTGACATCTTGTTATAATTTTGCCTGTATGACTCACCATAAATATAATCTTCATTCTGCGACCAGACTTCACCTGAATTTCATTGAACAATTAAAATTCCGCTCTTACATGTGCAGTGATCCTTAAATTGTGAAAAGCATAAAAAATTGAGTTTAATTAATGCTGAATTTGAAAAAACCTTCTATGGATCCTGGTAATTGATAGCTCCAAGAATATGTTTTAATGTCAATTCAAATGCTAATGCCAATTAGCATGCAAGATACTGACCCTAAAGTTAAGTCTAGATGATCTTGTTCAATTAGATTTGTAACCAGATGTCTTCGACTGAAAAAAGTGTCATAAACTAAAGTGCACAATAAAGATAATTTTCTAAGTATTTTTGCAATTTTTCTCTCTGATCTCCCATCTGCGTACTTTAAAATAAGTAAATAGATATTAATCTTGCCAAATTAGGTTAATTTCAGCTCTATCAGAATTTCCTTATTTAATCTGGTATTCCCTTTCCTGCTTATTGGTGAGGATAACTCTAGGATCAAGCGCACCTATGCCTGTTGGGACTTTTGTCTTCAGGGGCCACTTTCTATCTATGTAAACATATGGATCACACCATTTGACCTTCAGGTAAAATCATCCCTCCATGTTGGCATCTGAAATCTGCAGGTGCTTACATCACCATTCTAGGCAATTGCTTCTTTCTCCCAAATGTGGCCCCTGCAGGAGACCTGGGACTGCCTCATGCATGCTGTCTAGTTTGTTTACCATTTTCTTTCCATGGTGTAGAATAATACCTGGAATATGATAGGTGCAATAAGTGTGTGTCTCCTGATGAACTCTATTCTCTGGTGCTCCCACACAGTCATCTCTGCCTACTATGCCTTGGTAGAATGGAGAATTGATGTTAGTCTGTTGTTGCTCAGAGATGTGGACATGAAGCAGATATGAAGCCTGAATTTTCCACAGCTTATCTGGAGGTTGATTAGAGTCAACCATCCACAACTATGCTTTCACTGAGATCCATCAAGTAGGTGTTGCTTAACACAGGTCATGACCTATTATAAATCTCAATAAACTGGGTCTCTGCTTTTCCATAAAAATCATCTTGACAAGGTGGTACTTGGAAAAACATATAAATTCAACCCTGATAAATACTGAACAATGACACAAGCATTTACAGACTATCTCTTGAGGAGGTGGATAAGACAAGGAATGGCAAGATGTGATGCATATTGCAACACACAGCACACAGGAAAACATTCCAAGAATCTCCTTAAACATTTCTCTCATTGCAGCACCCACTTACCCCAAATCTGCTTTATTTATTCCCAAGTGCTCAATTTTGTAATCTTACTTTACACTTCGTTCCCCAATCTCCTAACTTCTCTTGTCCCTCTTCCTACCTTCTAGAGATTTCTTCCGTATCTTATCTCTGAGTTCTATCCATTCTCCTCTCTTCACTAGAAAGACCCTCAAAGCTGTGACTTCAGATTCACAGGCCGATATGTAAGATTAACTGAATACAGCCATATACCTTGTAAAGATTTATGAGTTGTACACCTATCAGCTAACTGGGAAAAGAATTTAGAGTGCAAATAGTTGAATCCAATTTAGTGGCAAGGAGTTTGCTCTAAGATTTGCAATAGTGGTTATAACTTCAAATCATTCTTGAAATTTTGTAAAAATGTAGTTTGAGATGATCCCATTCATAGGACGTGGACTTTTTTTTTTTAAACAACAAGCCAAGGAAGCTGAAGTCACTTTTTAGCACCCACTCTTTAAAAAAAAAGACTTTATTTATTTATTTGAAAGTCAGAAATATGGAGAGAGAAATCTTTCATCCACTGGTTCACTCCCCAAATGGTCACAATGGCCAGGGCTAGGCCAGGCCAAAGCCAGGAGCCATAAGCTTCTTCCGGGCCTCCCACATGGGTACAGGAGCCCAAACACTTGGGCCATCTTCCACTGCTTTCCAAAGAACATTAGTAGGGAGCTAGATCCAAAGTGGAGCAGCCAGGACTCTAACCAGTACCAAATGGGATGCTGGCACTGCAGGCAGAGGCTTAACCCACTAAGCCACAGCACTGGCCCCAGCATGGATTTGAAGTCACTTTTGGCATGGAAACGGAACAGAATGCAGCATTTTCACAGTTTTGGGGGAGAGACTGTGGAGCTCTGTCGCACTAGCCCTCATAACTTTGCCTAAAACTGATTTATGTGCAACATTATTCCTTTGTCACCTTAGGGCCAAGATACTTGACACGTGTGGCAGAGACTGCTGATTGCACACCAACACAGTCCATCTCCCCTTCACATTTAATAACAGCAGAAGGTAGCAGTATGACCAGGTGAGCGTCCATCTTTCCCACCCACTGCTTTGCAGATAGGGGTACCTCTGTGACTGCCTTCCGGACAATGATATGTGGGTAGAAGTTGTCGGATGGTACTTCAGGGAAAGCCCCTCAAAGGAAAAGGATGAAGCTGACTCAACTAAGGCGGCTTTCTGTTCTTCTTCTCACTTAAAGAATGACAATGTTGTGGCTACAATCTCCAGGCAACCTTTAAGATGGAACCCCATGCTGAGGATAACCCAACAGTAAATGAAGAACAAACTCGAACCATTGGAAAAGAGAGACGTATGAATGAAGCACAGTAAGAGGAAGATAATGACACTGGTGAAGTGTGGATCTTGAATAGAAGGAATCTCGTGCACCCATTTAGATTGTGTGAACCTCTTTGAAAAACTTTGCTCTTTGTAGGAATAAACATCTTTTAGGTGAAAGACAAGCAAATTTCTAATACTTTAAGCCATAATTATTTCAGGTCTCTGTAACTAGCAATTAAGCAAATTTCTAACATTCAGAAACTCAAAATTCTAAAATGCTGTCTTTAGTGATTAAGAAGTTTTAGTGCAAAGAAGGTAGAAGAATTGGGGTAATGAAGTAACTGAAAACATATTATTTATATTTAGTCACTTCTTCAGATGTAATTTGTATAATTAGTATCTTGAATTTATAATACTTAAGATAATGTGGCATATTGGAATACTTAATAAATTGGGCATGAGTCCAATTTTTTAAATGTGTAATAAACAAATGATTTAGAATTGTGGCAATTTCTTGAAAGAAAAAAAAAACTGATATTTATTTGCACTCTAATATATATTTTATATTATTCTCTACAAGTTCTCTAATCAAGAAGGAATTTTCATTCTTAGTGAATGAAGCTTTCATACTTGATTCATTCAAGAAAGGAATATCCTCAAATACTCTCAAATTATTGAGCAAATTGATATTTTCTCAGTAAAAAGGATCCAGGAAATGCTGAATATTTAACACTTTAGTTTTTGTCCCTGACAACTGTTACCCAATGAAATTATTATAATATTTTTAAAGATTTATTATTTTTATTTGAAAGAGTTACACAGAGAGAGGAGAGGCAGAGAGAGAGGTCTTCCATCGCTGGTTCACTCCCCAGTTGGCCACAACGGCCGGAGCTTCGCCGATCTGAAACCAGAAGCCAGGAGCTTCTTCCATGTCTCCCATGCAGATGCAGGGGCCCAAGGACTTGGGCCATCTTCTACTGGCCATAGCAGAGAGCTGGATTGGAAGTGGAAAGGCCGGGTCTCAAACCAGCGCCCACAAGGGATACCGGCACTGCAGGCGGCAGGTTTACCCACTATGCCACAGCGCTGGCCCCATTATAACAATATTTTCAAAGAAGTTTTCAAAATCTTATTGGCTCACCTAGGTTCCCTCCCACTTCAACGTTCTTCCTCATCTTTGATAACCTCTTGCTCTTACTGGGTTCAGATGGCTCCTCTCTGCTGTATTTAGGCTGGCTATGGCTAGAGATATCTGCCAAATTCGCTTTTTTAAAACTTCATATGTGAGACATTTGTAACGGTCCTGATGGAAAGCGCGTTAACAGCATTATCCGGATGCTGTTGCTACATGAAAAATGATTATCTGACGGGATTGGGCTCCGTGGGAACTAAAATGGTGTTTGCAGAGCTTTCGCTTACTGAGCGCCACCAGGTGTCGCTCTTCTCCTCTTCTAAAATCAGTGCTAGCTTATGCCGCCTTCCCGAGTCCTGTGAAGTCCTGGATTTGTTCCCAAGTCTGTTCTCACCGCTACCTCCACTCCCGTGGTGAACACTGCAGGCATCAATTGGATTTTGCAGAATTTCACTTAATCTCTGCTGTTTCTCTACCTTTCAGTTCCACCAGCCTACAAATGTCAGGGGTCTGCTTCCTCTACCATCTCTTCTAGACCACCACCCCACCGTGAGTGTCTAGGGGCACAGGGACTTCTAACTGTGGCTCCAGGCTGCTTAACACGTACCTCACAAAACTTCCTACCCTGGAAGGCCCTCTCTGGTGGTGAGATTAGACAAGTTGCTGCCCAGAACTTTTCTCTTCTAGGACTCTTCATTTATTAGGAAATCAGATACCCATAGAAGCTGACTTTAAAAAACAAAGATGAGGGCCAGTGTTGTGGCACAGCCGGTTAAGCCACCTCCTGTGATGGTACCAACCCATCTGGGCTCTGGTTCAAGTTCTTATTGTTCTACTTCCTATCCAACTCCAGCTAATGTGCCTGGAAAAACAGCAGAAGATGGCCCAGGAACTTGGATTCCTGTACGCACATGGAAGAACCAGTTGAAGCTCTTAGGTAATGACTTTGGCCTGGCCCAGCCCTGGCCATTATGGCTATTTGGGTAGTGAACCAGTGGGTGGAAGATGTGTGTGTGTGTGTGTGTGTGTGTGTGGTGTTTCCTCTCTCTGTAACTCTACCTTTCAATTAACAAATAAATAAATCAATCTTTAAAAACACATGCATACACACACAGGCCAGCCTGTAGGGGGAGGTAGCTTTCTTCATATCAATGAACTCACTTAGCACTGTAATTCTGGCTCTCTCTCCTATATACTCTGCTTTAAACTGCTTTATTTCTTCAGTGTACATTGCAAAGATCACAGTTGCTTCACGATATCCCTTGAACTGTAAGAGGGTACTGTGAGTGCCAGCATAATGTGATGAAGATGTACACGTCTTCCTCCTTAGTTACACCATGAAACAAGACTGTGGGAGCTATACAGCAGGCAATCCTTTTCCTAACTGTATTTTTTAAGATTTATTTATTTATTTGAAAGTCAGAGTTACACAGAGAAAGAAGGAGAGGCAGAGACAGAGAGAGAGGTCCTCAATCCACTGGTTCACTCCCCAATTGGCCACAACAGCCAGAGCTGTGCTGATCTGAAGCCAGGACCCCGGAGCTTCTTCTGGGTCTCCAACATGGGTGCAGGGGCTCAAGCACTTGGGCCATCTAATACTTCTTTCCCAGGCCATAGCAGAGAGCTGGATTGGAAGTAGAGCAGCTGGGACTCGAACTGGTGCCCGTATAGGGATGCCAGCACTGCAGGTGACGGCTTTACCTGCTACACCACAACTCCAGCCCCCAGAATTTTTTTCATTATATTTCTCCATCAAGATTGCACTCATCACTGCAGCTATTACTTCCAACACTTTTTAAATCTCTTGTAATAGTTCCCTACCTCACTTCTTCTGCCACCTTTTCTCCCATCGCTAACCTCCTTGCCTCTCTTTAGAACATTTTTCTTTGCAGCTACCCTTGTGCCTTTTATGGAAATTAAGCAGTTCACTCCCAGATTCTTCCAGTTCTCTTCACATTATCTCAATCAAGCCCAGGGCAGGACAAGCAAAGAATTCTACTAAGAAAGAGGCATAAAAGGACAGGCATGCCTATTTATATTTCAATATCTTCCTAGGCATAATGCAGTTAAATTAACAAAAATGAACATACAGGATAAAATACAATAGATCATTTGGAAATAAGTATATTGCTAGTGGCACTGAAAAATTAGTTTCTCAGAAAAACAATTTCACAATATATGAAAAGATCTGTTCAAATGCTTTCTGAGTCAGTAATTCCATTTTAGAAATATACCCCCGAGAGAAAAACAAATGTCAAAATATACAAGAATATTTGAAGCAATGCAGCATCACATGATGTAACAGAGAATATTACAAATACTATAGCTGAGTCACAGCCAAGATCATTACAGAAACTGCACATACACAATGCAGCCTCAGAATTTAAAGAAAAATAAAATATTCTCACCCTGTGAAATGGGGACAAGCAAGAGGCAACATATAAGGAAAGGAGAGTGCCTCAGCCTGCTTGTTCCTAACTGGATGGGGTTTGGATAGCAGGCAGCTGGATAGGGCTGGGTGAGCTGAAATCTTCACAGCCCTGCAGGTTCTCTCCCTAGCTGTCAATCAAGTATGCCTACATTCAAAGATGCCCTTGTGTCTCATTCAGGACCCAGAAGAGGGAGAACCATGAGGGTACATGGATGTTAAGCTCTACATGGAGTTTATGGAGGTGTCATAAACTTCCTAGATGCTAACATACCTCCCCCGCCTCAGAAACAGACTGGAAGTGGGAGAGGGCTCTCTTTTCTTCACAGACCATGGGTGCAGGTACTATTCAGGTTTTCTCTCTCTCTCACTCTGCCCCCTGATTTGAGTCCACTCACATTAGATATTTGCCTATGTCAAGAGTCCCATATTCATGGGTAAATGCGTGTTTTCTCTTTCATTGTTAAAAAATCCTGTTCCTGCTTGAGAACTTATGATGGCTTCGCTTAGAATTCTTACCTCTGTGAGAGTCAAGAACATGGAATAGAGGTTAAGATATGCTCATGCTCCTGTCACATCCAAAAGAATCATTGACAGACTTGGTAAGTCTTGGTAGCTTCCAATTCCCAGCAAGGTGTCTAAAGGCAATGAAGTGGCAATTAGCAAGCTATCATCTTGAAAATCAAAATACAAAATGATCTTTTAAAACTAAGTTTGACTGTCAATAATTTCCTACCATTTTTTTTCTCCCTTAGACTCAATAGATTATGTATGCTGCTATAGAAATTTTTCTCAAGAACTTGTATGTGGCAGGAGTAGGCAAAGGTAAGAAGTAAGTAGAAGATGAAAAAAGAGGAGAGGAGAAAATGAATCTTCCTGATTTTCCAAGAAAACTGAAAAATCAACTTTCTCCCTGTATTCTGATAATGAGTTGTTGATATGCACCCCAGGTCACTTCAACACCACCCCACATCAGTCTTGGAGTATCACTGCCCTACACTTGGATCAAAAGCTAACTATGGGTGTATGTGTCTCCACATCAGTGTGCTGGGCCGTAAGAACAGGTGGGAAGGTTTGTTTGGAAGAGAGGAGATTGAGATTGTGCACCAGCCAAGTGACTTAACAATCATATATATTGTGCTAATTGTAAATCTCGTTCTATGATTCAGAAGAACCTTAGCCATTCTTCTTCTTACCATCTATAGGTTAGACATGGTGTTTGGGCAATGCAATTCTTTGCATAACTAAGGGGCACGGTAAAGTCTTTTCCCTTTGGGCCTGCCTGTGGCACAGAGGGTTAAGCCACTGACTGTGACACTGGTATCCCATGAACATCAGTTTGAGTCCTGGCTGCTCCACTTCTTTTTTTTAGAAAACATTTATTTAATAAATATAAATTTCAAAAGTACAACTTTTGGATTATAGCAGTTCTTTCTTTTTATTCTTAAGTGTTGAAATTTAACTGAAATGTGATCCCTGTTAAACATAAGAGTGGGAATAAGAGAGGGAAGAGATGTACAATTTGGGACATGCTCAAGCTGACTTGCCCCAAATGGTAGAGTTAGAAACATACCAGGGGACTCCAATTTAATCCCATCAAGGTGGCATGTACCAATGCCATCTCACTAGTCCAAGTGATCAATTTCAGTTCGCAATTGATCATAATGAAAGGACTAAGAGTCAAAGGGAGCACATAAACAAGTCTAGTACCTGCTAACACTAACCGATAGAATAAATAAAGGGGAGAGTGATCCAACATGGGAAGTGAGATACTCAGCAGACTCATAGAATGGCAGATGCCCTAAATAGCACTCTGGCCTCAGAATCAGCCCTAAAGGCACTCGGATCTGGCTGAAAAGCCCATGAGAGTATTTCAGGCATGGAAAGCCAAGACACTCTGGCAAAAGATCTCTGTGAGTGAGATCTCAGTGGAAAGAACAGGTCTTCAAAGAAGGAGGTACCTTTCTCTGAAGGGAGGAGAGAACCTCCACTTTGACTATGACCTTGTCTAAACAAGATAAGAGTCGGAGAACTCAAGGGGCTTCCATAGCCTTGGAAACTCATGACTGGAGCATAGGGAGATTACTGATGCCATAGACAGGAGTGTCAATTGGTAAAGTCAACAACAGGAGTCACTGTGCACTTACTCCT